CCAAAACAATGCTTGAATAACCAGAATTCTCCCTGTTTGTAAGATTTGCTTCCTGGCATGTTATTGTGTTAAGTTTAACCCTGCAGGGCCTATACGCACCTTTCTTGACTTCATCTTATTTGTGGAGGGCCTGTGTGTTCAGATATATTAAGTTATATATGTTTGTTGTTCTTACTTGTTTTCTGTTGAAATAGATTGTTGAAGAGTGGACTTTAGAATCCAGAAAAAGCCTGTTTTTTTTTTCTTCCCAAGCCTATTCTTTCTCAGTACAACAAACTGATATGCTTTAACCACACCCTCTTCTCCTTTCTTTGTATGCCCTTTCTGGATTCCCTCATATCTGAAATTATCTGTTCTGGGCTAGATATTTTCCAGTTACCTAGATGATAGGAGTCTCCTTGCCTGTGACCTGAGGGGAAGGAAAACAATCAGAATTATTTGAACAGAAATCTTCTATGCCTTACAAAACACTTAGAGCAGGCCCTGCTTCCCAAGTGGTTCTGACAGAGTTGAGTGAGTTGCTCTGGTGGAACCAGAAGTCTCCATGAATGCTTGATGTAACCATATATCAATTCCTAGGAGTAGCCTCTCTCAGCATAATAGTGGACTCTCTTCTCTTTCCTCTCTCATCTTGTACAGAGGCTTTTGATTATTTTATACCTGAGTCTAAGACTTTATATTTATCCCTTTTGGATTTCGTCTTATTCTATGAGATTGATTTTATTGGATTATTATGCTTGGGTGCCTGGTGACACCCCTTGTTAGATCTCTTCCATCATCATCCCCAATCTAGCTTTGGGGTTTAAGGGGTTTGGTTATTGGGGCCATCCATTCCCTGCTTGAAAACCTTCAAGCCCCCTCTCAAGGCAGCCCATTTTTCTTTTGAAACAATGCTAATTGGTAGGAAGATTTTCCATTACATCCAGCCTAACTTTTTCTCTTTGCAACTTCTACCCATTACTCCTGGTTTTTCCTTTTGGGGTATAAACAAGACATGACAGCTTTTCAGATACTTGAAGACAACTGTCACATCCTGCCTGAGTCTTCTATTCTCTAGTCTAAATATACCAGTTCTTTCAATTTATCCTCATATGATGTACTCTCAAGACCCTTTACCATTCTGGTGGCTCTTCAAATGGACACTTTTCCAGTTTTTCAGTGTCCTTAAACTGTGTCACTCAGAACAGTACGCTAAGGGAGATATGAAGGTGACAGAATAGAATGTGCCTATTAAATCTCTATTCTGGAAGCTACATTTCTCTTAATGCAGCCCAAGATTATGCAAGTTTTTTTTTTTTTGCTGCCACATCACATTGTTGACTCTTATTGAGCTTTCAGTACATTAAAACTACCATATCTTTAAAAAAAAACCCAAACAAAACAACTCCCCAAACAACAGCAACAACAATAAACTGTCTATGCCTCCTTATCTTATACAGGAGAAGTTTCCTCCCCACCCCACCCCACTTTGGTAATTAGGTTTAAGACTTTACATTTATCCCTATTGAATTTCATCTTAATAGATTCAGTCCACTAAATCAACCTATAGAGATTTTAAAAATCAGATTCTGTTCTCCAGTGTGATAGTCCTCCCTCTCATGTTTGTGTCATCTATGAATTTGATAAGTGTGCAATTATGCCCTTATCCAAGCCATGAATAAAAATGTTCAGAAACACAGGGTTAATTAGAAATCCCTGTATTAGAATCCAGTTTCCATTGGAGACTTTCTCATATGTTGACATTGTACTATTAATAACTATTCTTTGAGTCCAGCCACTCAACCAGAAGGCATGGATGGTTTGTATACTGTACGTGTGGTGGGGGTACCCACATGAGAAAAATTCTAGATCTATATGCTTGAGTAAATATTATTAGCCTTTCTATATACACAAAAATCATCCAAGAATTTCCTTTATTTCTAGTGTTTGAATATGGAATTATGATGAATTACTCATTTATTAAATGGACTCACTTCTCTGACCTCCAAATAGAATTTAATGAGCTAATCTTGACTGCTTAAATCCATCATATGTTCACCATTTCAAAATTCACATGAACATAGATGATGTCCTTATGAATTTTTGAAAAAAAATTACATTCCTACTTCATCTGTTAATATAGAAAGTGCTTTTTTTTTTCCCCTCTGACTCTGCTCACTCTATTTTCTGCCCATTCAGCACACTGTAATGTAAGGGCTATTTGACAGGCTAAACATCTATTCCCTCTGGGCCAGCAGCCATTTGTGTTGAGATCCCTTCTCCAAGTTTACCAAGGTAGTCATGGAAGAGAGAATAATGAATGCTTTCCTAATCTTTTCTAAATCTGGTGTGTACAGTTATTTACATATTATCTTCCCCATTAGAATACAAGCTCATAGATGGCAGGGACTGTATTTCTGGTTTTCTTGGCATCCCTTGTGCTTAGCAAAGTTCTTGGCATGTAATAAGTACTTAATACAAATTTTTTTGACTGGTTGACAAAGAATACAGATTGCATACAATTTAAGAAAATGACATCATTTTAGTTATAAAACCATTGTTTGATGTAAGTTGAGTCCCACGTGGGCTTGTATTTATGAAATGAAAACAATGCAGAGGCAAGACTGAGATGTTTATATTATTCTTAAATGGAAGCACAAAGAGCCATCTGCTCAGGGTAACAGTGTAAACCAGGTAAGTAGTAAAGATGCCAAGTAGATTGACTTCATTTATAGCTTGTATAATTGTAGAGACAGGGAAGTGTTAAAGTTTTAGAGAGTACAGTGTGGTAATTTTTTCCTACTTGCTTGGTAAGGTTGTAAATGGCTCAAAGTTTGTGCGTAATTGGTACTTTTGTGCATATTCCCACACTTCTCCTTTTGGTATAAGTCATTTCATTTTCATTTGTCAAAGAAGGAATGTCACTTGGATGATCTGAAAACAAGTTTGAATGAAGATAGGTGGGAAATGGACAAATTTAAAAGTGTTTCAATCTCATTTCTCATGTTAGAAAATGAAGACCGGTAGCTTTCAAAAATTGACTAAATTTTTGTGCTGAAGCAAAATAAACCCATAATCTTTTCTTATATCCATGGTTTTTTGTTCTCATCAATGTGGATATTTCTTGCAAAAATGCAGATCACTACTTCTCTATGCCTATTCTTCTTCTGTGATTTTCATCCATGACATCCACTCAGTGTATTGGGAGACCTCTACAAATTCTACTCTCTTGTAAAGCTTTGGTGTACGACTCAGAAGTATGCTAGAAATATATGTATTTTTTTCTATTTTATAATATTCTTTTAAATTCTCGAGTGAAAAGATTATATTTTTAAACTGTCATTTTTGATGGTTGACAGCAAAGGTTCATGGAGATCTTGAATTTAGTAGAAATGTTTCCATCCCTCTTTAGAATTAAGTAATAGTTTTGGTAATCATTAGAGTAAAACACAGGCAACTATTTTTAAATTTTGTGCTGCTTCAAAGATAATATTTATTTTTAAAATTTCAGTCTTCTAAGCATTTCTATTTCCATGTAGTCAGCAGCCAAAGAATTGATTACCTTTCCCTCCATTTGAATATAGTTCCCTGAACAAAAGCAATTAAACAGACAAGATTCTCTTCCCTCCAGCAACTGTCATTCTGGCAACTTTAAAATTCAGCTCTCTGGCAAATGTAGGAAAAAGCATGAGTGGGATGCTACATAAAAAGCTTTCTAAATCTGAAAGAATTTTTCAGAGCTAAATGTAAAACCTCAGTTTATAGAAAATACTGAGAGATTTAGTGTTAAATAAAGGGCTAGATGACATTCCTCTAGGTCACACACACACACACACACACACACACACACACACACACACACAAACTCACAAACTGTCTGGCAATGGCAGAGGAAAATTGAGCAAATGTTTTTCAAATAACATCACCAAAGCCTCTTTATCTCCAACTGGTAAAATGAATTAAACTTTGTAACCTGTGGCCTAGGTCCACTCTCTCCCCTGAAGTCTCGATGGGTTCACACACACCTGTAGGGCTATTGAAGTCAAACTATTTTGAGTGGCTGCCAGGCTCCTTCAGGAGGCTCTTCTATATTTTGAGGCTTGATTCAATAAATGCTATGTCATCAACAAAGGCCATTATCTGTAGGAAATCTGTCTTAAATTTCAAGTTAATTCTGGACACCCTCCATTATGGTAGCAAACATCTTTGGAAGTAGCGTCTTGGTGGCACAGTGGATAGAATCCAAGAGTCAGAAAGACCAGAATTCAAATCCCACCGCAGATACTAGTTCATGATCCTGGTCAAGTTACTTAAACCTTTGCATGCCTTAATTTCCTTATCTGTAAAATGAGAATAATAATAGCACCTTGGGTTGTTCTAAGGATAAAATGAGGTGTTATTCATAAAGAGCTTTGCAAACCTGAAAATACTATTAAATGCTAGCTCTTATTATTATTTTTTATCATAAGGGGATAAATTGTCATTCTGGTTAATCCCTTGTGAGTTAATATATTGTTAGTTTGGTTAGTATGACTCTGTCCTCTAGATCACCCCTGAGAGAATTGGAAAACAAAAAGCTAAATCACCCCCCCCAAAAAAAAAACCCAAAACTGAGTTACCAGACTTGCAAAACTGTGAGTCAGATCTATGAAACAAAGTTGAGGACAGGATCTATGGTCTGCCACCTTTTGGTGTGAGAATTATTAGACCCATTAGTAGATAAAGAAACTGAGTCCCATAGAGATAAAAGTGACTCATTTAAAATCACACAGGTAGTAGGAGACAGAGCCAGGATCTACACCTTGGTCCTCTGATGCCAAATATAATGGGTACTACCCTACCTTTCCAATGCACTTTTATAGAACACTGACTTCTAATAGTTGGTAGGCTTACCTGGCAGCTAGGTAACATGGTGGATAGAGTGCTGGACTTGAAGTTAGGGTGATGAGTTCAAATTTTGCCTCAGAAATTTACTAGTTGTGTGACTCTAGGCAAGTCACTTAACTTCTCTGTGCCTCAGTTTCTCTGTCTTTAAAATGAGGGGTTGGACTTATGCTCTGCTTAAAAAAGGTCCTTTCCAGTTCTGAATTTCTGCATGACTAAACATTTCAAGACTTTTTAATGCAACATATATGTTCCATTAAATGAGTAATTTCACTTTATACTTTATATTGGGTATTCCTGGTCTCAGGAGTAGAGGTAGGGTATGTTCTGATTAGCAAATTGGGGGTTATGATTTCTATTATGAATGTAGTTTATTGTTATTTATTTTTAAGCAGGTGAAAATGTTACTCATTCAAAATGTTGGGTAATATGAACCTTAATATCCATATTAAAAATGCTGGATCTGATCCTGATAATTTAAAAGAAGTAAGTTGCTCACTTCTGTTTGAAAGTGGATTAACCTTTCTAGGTAATGATTTTTTTTTCAGTATTTTCAAGGAAGGAACCAGTCAGTGATATGTGACCTGGTGACCTAAAAGAGTTAATGTGCCCCCATGAAGTGAGAGAAGGATTCATTTTTTATTAGTAGTATCAAGGCCATTGGGAAGAATTTTACCAAACAAATTGAAATAGGAATGTTTAAAAATGATCCCAGGAAGGAAAAGAAATAATATTCATTTGTGTTGTTCTTTACAATATTAAATCCTTAGGAGTATGGAAAGGCAGCATGATGGAGTAAATAGCCTTCTGGGCCTGGAATCAAGAAAACTTGAGTTCCAAATTCTGGCTCCACCGCATATCAACTGTGTAACTAAGGCCAATCACCGCCTATACCTATAGCACCTATTTCACAGAATGAAATGTCAGCAATTATTAGTGAATTTTAATGAGCTTAACTATGAATCAATTTCAATTCAAGATACATTTATTAAATGTTTACTATGTGTAATAAATGGTCACCTACTGGTATGATTTGAGAAAAGTTGCAAGTTATCTCCTCAAAATAGTCTCTACCAGCAGGTTACCATGGCTGTACTGAAAAATATCACTGCCATCTACTCACTGGTAGAATGGAAGTTCCAGGATGGAAGGGGCTAATCTTTGTCTTTTTATGCCCTTTACCTAGCCTAGTCTCCTGTACATCACAGATGTTTCATAATTTTTTTTTAAAATTGATCTTTGGAAAAAGACAGTGCTGGACAAAGTGTTTTTTTTCTAATATTTGTGAATGGGAACATTCACATGGAAGTAATCTCACATAGATGCACTATATTTCTCACATCTTCCAATGTGATTGGTACTAGGGAAGAGTGATGTATGTTCTGGCTGGTGTAATATGTAAGACTTAATTTGTAGCAGTCATTTGTACCAAAACCTATTTCTTACTTTCATATAAACAGAGAAGAACAATGTGAATTCATAGCTTCTGTAGGTCCACATATCTATTTAATGGCAAATGTGATCCACATACTAAAAGAACTAGGGAAAGTCGATCAACATATTGGATGAGTCCCCTATCTCTATTTTTCAGAAAGATAGGGCAATAATTGCATGGGGTGAGCCTTGGGATGGAGTAACTATGGCCTGTCTAGGGGTGGGAGGAAGTAGGGGAGGCACTATTCATACCAACTAAGTCAGAGAGCCACTTATGTATCAGAGAATGGCCTGATACATTCATATCATGGGTAAAAAAATCCCAGAAATAAGACAGTGGTTTTTTTTTTCATTTTAAAAGTATATTCAAGTATAAATGGAAAAAAAATTCTGTCAATTTGTTATGCAACTAGGAAACACAGTAAGCTTTGTACATGCAGTAATTGCTTTAAAAAAAGGCAATATGCCAATGATTGAAGTTAAGTAAGCTATAAAGCAATGAAAAAATATGCATGTAAAATGGCACATACCATGTAAGTAACATAGTGTCTAAGACCACACTGTTATTGTTACTAAGTCTTCAATTTGTCATTGGTTTCTACTGTGAAGTATTTCATTACATTTTTGATAATTCAATACAATTAAGCAAATTTATTAAGCAAGAACATTTTCTTTACAGTATATAATCTACCTAGAGCTAGTCTTCATCTAAGTACAACTTTTTAGGTCCTGAGGTGTGTATGTGATCCAGGAGCATGATCAATGGATGAATTTGAAAAGCTTTGGTCACTTGAGAGGAATCTCTTTAATATTGGTGTTGTGGAGATAATCTTAACATCTGCCTTAAATATAAACTGCTATATCAGGCTTACATTGAGCTAGCTATCACTTATATATCACTTTAAGGTTTGCAAAGTGTTTTACAAAAATCCAATTTTATCCTCACAACATCCCTGGGATTTAGGTACATGATTCGCTCTGTTATAATGCATTTGGTGTGATAATCAAATTATACTGGATTTTTCTTGTATTTCTAAAGTTTGCAGAGTGCCTGTTTGGAAGCTATAAATCCACCCATTGTTCACTTTCCTCTGTTTCCTTATTTTGTTGTATAGAGGTGTTAACAGAACAAAAAAGGTGCTTTCTATACACCATCTTCAGTTTCTGAAATGGTAATGTACTTTCAGGTTTGGCTGTCCATCTGCAGGCTTTTGATGAGGTTCTGGTATAATTCTGACCTTAGGAATCTGGGATAGGAGTCTCTCTCCATGTGCATGTACACAATTTTTTGAGCTTCATCAAAACAATTCTGGGTGGGTTCTTGAATGTTCTTAATGATGGCTTCTCTGGTGGGGCTGTCAATGTTAATCTGAAAAATTAAATGACATGTAGGTTCATGGAATATGACCAAACATTGGTAAATTAAACCTCTAAACCTTGACAGTATGTCTCTCCTGTCTTTTCACTCAGAGTCCTTATATTAGTGTCATTTTTCAGGCACAGAGAAAAACTTACAAGAGACAATTTTTAGTTTCTATTTTTGGTATATAGCCATAACCACACTGGAAAAAATAATACTAGAGCAAAAATAAAAAAGAAGTGGTTTGTTAATGTTGGTGTGAAAAATAGGGAAGCACTGAGATGAAGGATCCTTTGAAGGAAAGGGGAAATTAATGATCTTATAAAAATGATTCTAATAGGCTCTTTTTCTAAATACTGGCAAACATCCACATCACATGGAATATGTCCCAAATTGAGAAGAGAATGAGGAGAAGTGGGGTGGGGGAAAGGACGAAGGAAGTGGCTTTAGTGAACCATGCATTTTCCAGATGAGGTTTTGGGGTATTAGTCAACAAAGTCAGGTTCTGTGGAGGGTACAATTTCCATATTCTATTCTCAACCCCTAGCCCACCATCAATAGGAACTTTTGTACCACATCCTCTCTTCATCATCTGGGACTCCTGTGAATCCCTTCACATTTGCTGGCCTGCCCCAACCCCACCCCTGTCATTTCTTCTAGAATAGATGTGGATGGAGAGTAGTGGCTTTAGGATTTTCCTCATGACTTGTTAATTTTAACTTTAGGTGGGTATTTTAACTTAAGCGTGGTAACTAGCAAAGCCACAAGACCATATAATTTTATAGCTTGAATACGCATTGGAGATCATCTGGTCTGATCCTTTCATTTTTACAAATGAGGAAACTAAGACCCAGAAGTGGTCTTTCCAAGGCCAGGTACCAAAGCTGGATCCCAGACAAGGACCTCAAGTCAACATTCACCTTTTTTTTTTCCTACCACATCTATTAATTTAGATAGTTCAATCTACTCCCACTTTGGGTCTTCACCATTGTGCAGTAAGTGAGGCAGAATGAGACTTTTTAAAGAGCCCTGGACTAAGATTCAGAGGACCTGGGTTCCCATTCCTCATCCGGTCATCTCCCTTCTCTTAAAACCTTAGTTTTCCCATCTATAAAATCTAGCCCCCAGTTAAAGTAGGTTATTAAAATCCTGGATAATTGAATTGAAGAGTTCAAATGTTTTACCTTAGGGTCTGTTCCCTCTACATTTTCTACCTTGGCAATCTCTCATTCACTTCCATGGCTTTAATGATCACATCTATTTTAGGTAATTCCCAAATCTGTATCTTTAGGTCTGACCTCATCTCCCACTATTCTGTCATTCTTCCTTCCCTTCTCTGCCAAACTTCTATAAAAGTTGCCTATACCAATGACTCAGTTTACTTTATCAACATTAATTCTCTTCAACTTCTTATAATTTGGTTCCCATTCCAACTAATCTACTGAAATGGCTCTCTCCATAGTCACCAATAATATTCGAATTGCTAAATCCATTGAATTGCTGTCTTCATTTACCTTGAAACCTTGCAGCATTTGACACCTTTGACTCCCCCTTCCAAATGGAAACTCTTTCCTTTCTTGGATTTAGAGATAACACATTCAGTTAGTTTGCTTCTGATCTAATTGCTTCTTTGTTACTCTCTTTGCCAAATCCGTTGCTCTTTTCTCAGTCAATTTGACCTCTATACTGTATTTAACACTCTTGACTACTCTCTCTTTCTGGATACTCCTCTCTGGGTTGTCATGACACTACTGTCTTCTGGTTCTCCTCCCACTGGTGTGACCATTCCTTCTCAGTCTCTTTTGCTGGATCATCCATATCACAGTCCATAATTATTGGGATAATGCAAGGATCTGTCCTGAGCCCTCTTCTCTTCTATTTTTACTCTTAAACTCTCTCTTTCTGTCTCTTTCTCTCCTTCTATCTGTCTGTCACTCTTTGTCTCTGTCTCTCTCTGCCTTTCTTTGTTTTTGTCTCTCTGTCTCTTTTCATCTCTTACTCTCTCTCTCTCTTCTCTAATGATGACTTGAACACCCATGGGTTTAATTATCTTCTCTATGAAGATGACTCACAAATCTATATACCCAGTCCCTATTTCTTGGACATCAAAACTGCTTATTGTACATTTCAAACTGGATATTTAAAGATAATTTTAACTAATCTTGTCCAAAATAGAATACGTTATATTTCTCCAAAAGTCCACTCCTCTACTGAACTTTCTTATTCCTGTCCAAGGTACCATAACTCTTCTACTTGCCTGGGTTCATAACATTAATGTCTTGTTTTTCTCTCCACTTTTCCTTCCATTCATATCTGATCAACTGCCAGATCTTTCTTTCTCTACCTACATAATCCATTTCTCATCTGACCCCTTTTTTTCTACTCATACAGGTACCACTTTAGCATCTACTCTCATTACCTCTTACTTGGTCTATGCAGTAATTTACTAATTGGTCTCCCTGCCTCTGTTGTTTCTACACTCTGATCCATTCTCCATATAGTGGCAGAAGTAATTTTTCTCAATCACAGATCTGACCATGTCACACCCTCACTTAATAAACTTCAGTGACTATCCATTGTCTCTAGAATAAAATATAAACTCGTCCATTTCCAGCTTCATTGTGCTTTATTCCCCTACCTACACTCTATGGTCTAGCCAAAACCACCCTCTCTATTTCTCACACCTGGAATTCCATCTTCACTCTTTTATCTTTGAGCCATTTTCTATGGTCTCTCTACTCTTTGCTGCTGCCTTAACACTGACCAGCACTTCAGCTTCTGCTCTAGGGGCCCTGGGCTTCTGCGTGGTGAGAATTCATCATATAGCTTGCATAAGGCCTACCATGCTGCTCTCTAGACATCTTCATGCCATGCCACTCCCTGTATTAACACACCATTACTGCCCCCACACCTAAACTCAACATTTTGAAAATTGTTTATAACCTTTCTCCTAAAATCTATTCATCATCATGACTTTACTTTTTAATCTGTGACACTAATATTCATGTTGTTACCTATATTCAAAATCTTGGTATTGCTACTAACTCACTCCTGACCCATATCTCTCATTTTCAATTATTTTTAAGGCCTGTAAAATCCATCTTTAACATCTTATGAATTATTCCCTTACTGTATGGCCACTGCTACCATCTTTATGCAGGCCTTCACTGCCACCTACTTGGACTATTGTAATAGTCTATTAAAAGGACTTTCTGACTCTACTTACTCCCTATCCAATCCATCTTTCAATACCTCTGCCAAGTTATGCATATTCCTTATGCATAGATCTGGTCACATCCCACATCTTCACAAAGCTATGCTATGTTATCAATGTGCTCACATCTCTCTAACACACTTATCACATATTATTTTCCTTTATGAATATTTTTGTGGGTGTCATAGACAACCACTAAATTGTAGGTTCTATAAGGACATGCCTATATCTTATTTACATTTTGTATCACTGACTACATCTAGCAGTGAGCTCTGAATATAGTATATAATTAATGTTTTTTTTAGGATAATTTGAAATATAATGCAATCTCAGCTTAAATAGCCTTATACTTCACAGTAAAGTCATCACACTAATTACAGTTGATGTAATCATTTTCAGGAGTTTCAGAATTAGAATGATACAATGCTATTTGACATCTGTATGTATAGAACTACATACTTTTCAAAAGTATTTCTGCATCCACATCCTCATTTCAATATCCCAAAAACCCCATCAATGAGTCATGGAATGTTATTTATCTTTTCATTCTGCAGATGGTGAAGCAGACTTAGAGACCTGATGTCACAGAAATAAGGAACTTCAAAATTGCAAGAGACCTCAGTGGCCCTCTGTAAATTAAGTCTTATCTGAAAAAGAATCCTCTCTACAACATATCTAGCTTTTGTTTAAATATCTCCAAAAAACCAGCCTATTATTTCCCTAGGTAGTCCATTTCCAATTTCAGAATAGTGCTAATTGTCAGGAAGTCGTTTTTTTTTTTTCCTCCTTAAATCAAATTCATATGGCTAATTAATGTCAGGATCAGGATCCAGGTCTCTTGATTTTCAGGTGCTTTCCTTGCTGTACTGTATCCAAATGGTATCTTAAGGAATAAAAGTGATCAAATAACCTATTATTTGTCACAGGTTAAGTTCATTCTTGCAGTATTTACAGGTTTGTCTTGTTTTCTCAAAATGTCAAGAAAGAAGAATCAACCACTTGAGAAGAGTCTCTCTTTTTGTACCCACCATCTTTCCTTTTTAGAGATGTAAGTATATATTCTTACAATCATAACAGTTATTATTACTCAGTAAGATATTACCTCTCTAGGGGACTGAGGTTGAATGTAATTCTTGTAAAGCTTCTTGGCCTTAGAGATCCTGCTAAATCGTGATGTGGTTTTTTTGTATGTCTCACATGCCATCCAGAATTTCATATTCTCATCACTGTGCTCCATTTTTAAATATGCAGCGTAGATTACTGGACCATCTAAAAATAATTGATAATTTTTTTCATGGGCAAACATTAAGAAACACAATTGAAAAATATTGAATAAAGATTGCATTAAAATCTGAATCAAAGTTCTGAAACTCAAGAATAATTACAGATTTATAGTTTTGAAATATAAATTAGTTTTGCTATTATTCATATAGGGCCTTCCATCTGAGGCACACCAAATATATTTTACATGCCTTGTAAACAAGCTTTAGGTCTTCGGTTAGGCCAAACCTGTGGGGAGCCAGGAGTAGGAGCAGGAGCCAGGGTAGGACAACTTGGTGAAGCAATGAATATTCAGAAAAGCACTTTCCTTTTCTCTTGTTTGTAGCCCTCCCTACCTTCTCCCCACTAGATCCTCCAGAATCCAAACTTCACAGAACAAATCCCCCTTAATAAAAGGATTTGTTCAATAAAACTTGGACTCAGTCAAAAGGCTGCACCTAAGGACCTAGAATGCCACGAGGCTGCAAGTTACCCACCCTTGGTCCAGTACATTCATAACTGTATATTGGATTGAATTGAATAAGGTATAATGTGAAATGTAGATTAGAGTCTGGGGTGTCAAGATAAACTGGAATACATAAGCAAATGAAGACCCCAAGCACACAGTGACAAGTCAGGCTTCAGGTGTTAATCTGGGCTTAAATTAATAGATCAGGGATTCAGTTTGGTCTAAACTGGGTGAGACACAACCTTTCCCAGTATCTTTGGAGAGATCAGTATCTTTGGAACCAGAAAAAGCAGGTGAACATGGAGTCACTGGCTCCTTAACAATGAGGATCAGGGGAAGCAGCTTGGGGGGGGGGGGCCTCAAGCTGATGGCAGTAGAAAAGAGAAAACCTGCAGGGTACCCCAGAATCCTAAGGGACAATGTAGCAGGCCTGGCTCTGACTTCTGGATTCTTGTATCTCACTTTCTTGACTTCCAAAACTCCCAAGGTTGGAATCTTCATTCCCTTTACTGGATGCTATGAGTGAAGGAGTCACTGAGATCTCCTACGTATGAATGAGGTAAAGATACAGTAGTTGAATCTGACACGCCCTTTTTGAATGCTTCCACAGACAAAGAGTCTCTTTTTCAACACATGTTGAACCAGAACCAGTTGACCAAAACCAGTTATGGAATGTCTACATATGCTCCACAATCTGTCTTACCAAGGTTCTTTCCTCACTCATCACTACTTTGCTGGAAAAAGCTCCCTAACATCTTCCTTGTGGTAGCTGAGATCTCAAGTGGTCTCAGCATTCACCAGACCTCCATTAAAAAAAACAGAAAAATGAACATTCCTTTAGTCCTTGCCCTGAAGGAGCTTTCATAGCTTTTCATAGAGAAAACAACATAAATACAGATAATTATGTACCACAAAACTTTGATCCCCTGGTGATCTAAGTGTTATTATTAACCCAATTTTTCTGATAAGGAAATTGAGACTAGGAAAGGTTAAATGCCTCGCCCAGGGTCACACAGCTACAAAGAGTCTGAGGCAAGATTTGAATGCAAGTCTTCCTGACTTCAATTCCATTGAATATATGGAATATATTCCTGACTTCAATTCCATTGAATATATGGAATATACCTGTCTAGCAATTTTGTGGGAAATAGCGCAAGAACCCGGGAGCTTAGAAAAGGCCTCTGGATACATGGCATCTGGACTATGCTTTAAAGGAAATCAGGGATGCTATGATTCTACATTAATTACCCAGTTTGGTTTAGAACATTCAGATCCCTGATCATTCTCTGAACCAACCTGGTCAATTACCAACCTTATCAATTCTGGGTAAAATTGAAAGTGAGGCCCACCCCAATAATCTTCTGGGAATGACCAAGGTGAAGAATTTATTCAGCATGTTAACTGTCCCCTCTTCATTTCTACGGGTGAGCTCTGTTCTTCAGTCATCGAGGGCCCTGTGTAGCCACATGGGGGCTTACTCCTTTGGTCACATTTGAAGAACCTATTTTTAGAGTCCTTTGCATCTTGCTCCTTAAAATTACTTTTGAGCTGCCTTTTTCCTGGCTGATACCAAATCTTGTCATACTTTATGGGCTTCCAAGTTTTCTTTACTTGGACTAACCTTTATTTTCTATAATATCTTTGACTTGGCCAGTTACTCCTCTTCTCTCTTCTTTCTGTCTTGTCTTGTCTTGTCTTGTCCTCTCTTTTCTCTCTCTTTTTCTCTCCCCTTCCCCCTTTATCCCTCTCTTCTTTCCTTTTCTATCTCCCTCATCTCTCTCCCCTTTTTACTCCTTTCTTCTCTCTCTCCTCTATGTGATGAGATTTTCAAGCACTTGGTACTTTTGATTCTTGTTATGCTTTTTTCTTTTTTTTTTTTCAGACCTTTTAATAAAGTATTTTAAAATAGTTTCCAGGCTTCTTGTGAGCTACTGATATTTTAAATTCTTTCTTTCATTTTTTTCTCTAATGAATTCCTACATTTCGTAATGGTTTCCCTTTCTAAAATTTAGTCTGTGTGATGTTTCTTTGGTTTCCCCTCTTCTTTGTTGTTCAGTCATTTCAGTTGCGTCCAACTCTTTTTGACTCCATTTGGGATTTTCTTGGCAAAGATACTGGAATGGTTTGCCATTTTTTTCTCCAGCTCATTTTACAGTTGAGGAAACTGAAGTAAATGGGATTAAATGATTTACCCAGAGTAAGTGTTTGAGCTAGTAAGTGTTTGAGGATTTGAATGCAGGTCTTCTTGTCTCTAGGCCCGGTGCTCAACACACTGTGTCACCTTGCTGCCCCATCTTCTTCTATGATACTGAATTTAATATGCTGTAATAGTTCTGGCCTATGGCACCTTACCTTCTAGACCAGTTTTTTTTTTTTCCAGTCAGGATTCAGTTTATTTATACTCTGTGGTTTCTTGAACTACCAGTTCTAGGAACCTGACCTTTATCCTACAGGCAGGATGTCATTAATTAGTTCCATGAAAACCTGGTTGTGTAACACAATGTTATATAGATGGCCATCGAGCTATAAGCTGAGTAATCGGATCAGAGCCACTAGGATGGAAGACTGAGGTGGCAGGGTGGGGAGGGTAAAGCAAGAGACCAAACTAGGGGAGGAGTCTAAAGATGTTACAGCACGATTCTCAGGATTTAGCATTGGGTGTGGTCATAATGTTTTTAATGATGTTGGGCAAGGTAGGCCTTTATGAAGAAACCTCAACATTTCAATAGAGGATTTTGGTAACCTAAATTATTTTAATTCCCCAAATAGAGTTCTATCAAAAAGCTCACGTGGATTTCTTTTGCTTCAGGACTAAAATACAAACTCTTTCATTTGGTATTTACAGCTTTTTTTTTTTTAAAATTCTGATTCTACTATACTTTCCCAGACTTACTACTCATTGTCCTCCTGCATATGATCTAGCCAAACTGCTCTTTGGTGTTTTCCACACAAGGCATTCCATCTTAGAACTCTGTAATCATCCTTGACAAGTATACTCCAGACCTACCTAAACAGTCAAGTTTCATTTTGTATATTCATTCACAACATTTTCTAGTCTACTCTGCCTACATGGGAACTACTCCCTGAGACCTACCTCCATGTAATCTCAGTCAAGTCTGGCTCTCCTAGGTAATAACCTATAATTTGCCAGAAGAGCTTAGTTCAGCAACAACAGTAGCAAAAACTTTCATTGATGACAATGCCTTAAATTAATACATTTTCTAATTCAATTCAACACAATTTTATTAGGCAGTGACTATATGCCCAACCAAGGCACTATCCTACAGGCTTGAAATACAATTATAAATCAATCCCTGCCCTCAATGAGCCTATAAAAACAAAAACAAAATTGTTGCTTTCAAGGAGTTAACATTCTAGATTTTCTTAGCTGTTTAAAGTACTAGATTATGAAAATGAAGAAAAACTCTCAGATGCATACATTAAGTTAACTGAGGATGGTAATTATTTCACTTTTTTCTTTACACCCCCCACACCCTAGCATACTGTCTGGCACATAGTTAACACTAAATAAATATGTGTATGTGTATGTGTATTATTAGAGGTGGCCCATTTTTATTTGAATTTGATGCCACTAGTAGAGACAGACTATGGAAGAAACTGCCTCTATCAATTCGGATGGCAACTTTTCTCTAACATAAGTTGGAGATTAGCTTTGGATACTGAGAGATTAATTGCCTTGCTAGGTATTACATAGTCAGGAAAAGTCAGAGCTGGAGCTTAAACCTAGGTCTTCTTGACTCTAGCATTCACTGTTTATCCTTAGGGGTTCTTAATATGGACTGGCTTATTTTTTTTTAATAAAATTGTAATTCCACTGATCTCCTTTGTCATCCTATGTATGTTTTATGTATTTTTTTTCTGAGATGGTTTCCAGAGCATCCAGATTGCCAAAGGGGTCCATGACACAAAAAAATGGTTAAGAATTCTTTGGTTAATAACAAAGTTGCTACTCACATATAATACAGGGAAGGAATTTATAGATACACAGATCATTTATTGAATGTAGCTTAATTCTGCTTAATATAATTCTCAGTCTTCTACTGTTTTTTTGCATCGTTTGCTTCCCCCTTTGCATATTCTATTCCCGGTCCAAGTCAAAACCTCCTTTCTCAGCTCTCTGTGGTTACGGAGGAAGCAAGGTACTTTCTGAACATTTTAGGTTTTACCCTTGAATGAAGACCACAGTAAATCATAGGCAGGCACTGATGTCCTTAATGTTTACAGCTCGTTCATTTCTCACTCATAGCAAATTACTTAAATTCTCTTTTCTGGGAATACTGAACCATATCCTTTCCCCTAGAACTAATCCTTATTTTGAAAGAAGGCATCATGATGTAATAGAAAGAGTTCTGAACTTGGAGTCAGAAGAGCTCAGTTTCTTAGCTGTGTGATTTTCCATATGTCACTGAACCCTCTGAATTCTACTTTTCTCATTGGTGAAATGAACATAGCCCATATTTATATACTTTAAGGGCAGCTAGGTAGCACAGTGGATAGAGTGCAGGGCCTAGAGTCAGAAAGCTGAGTTCAAATCTGGTCTCAGACACTAGCTGTGTGACCCTAGGTCAGTCTCTTAACCCTGTTTGCCTCAGTTTCCTTATCTGTAAAATGATCTGGAGAAGGAAATGGCTGACCACTCCAGTATCTTTGCCAAGAAAACCCCAAATTGGGTCATGAAGAATCACATACGACTGAAAAATGATTGAACAACAACAAAGCTTTAAGGTTTGCAAACTGCTTTATATATGATGTCTCATTTGATTTTTACAATCATCCTGTGAAGTAGATGCTATTACTATCCCTATTTTACAGGTGGGAAAATTGGGGCTGAGAAAGGTTAAGTGACCTTCCATAGGTCACACAGCTAATGAACATCTGAGGCAGAATTCTCTTTTCTTCCTCATTAGGGATTAAGTGTACTATTCACTACTCTAGTCTGCCTTGCCTACCTCACAGAGATATTGTAAGGTTAAAATGAAATCATATAAGTGAAGCAATTAGTAAATTTTATTTTCATGGGTTATCATGGTCAAAGAATCCATTACACCAAATGGCCAGGCTATTTGGCATGACAGTCTCTCTTCTTTTCTAGGCTGAGCAGCAGAAAGCTAGAGTATAGTGTGGCTTTGAGACCGAATTCCTGGTCTTTGTAGCAAGGAAGAATCTACCAGAAATTGTGCTCCACTGGCTTATTCTTTGAGAATTTATGGCCATGAAGCAAGGATTGCCTCCATATGGCAAGAAGTCATTGGAGTAAGACTGAAGCATTATACATTTAAGGTTTGGTTTCAAGACTTTTGTAGGTAGCCTACCTATCTCTGATAAAGTAATAGATTCTGCACCACTTGTAGTTCTTCCTTACTACCCATAACAACTTTCACCTTCATTCAAGCCATCAGGGTTTCTTGTCTTTTGAACCCTGGTTTTGTCTCAGCAGCTTCCTTTACTCTCCATCCTCTTCCCTGACCTCAGGCACCATGAACATATGTGGCAAAATGTCATCTTTGTTTCTCATTTCCTGCTTCAATTTTGTTTTTCCCTCTTTCACTATTGTCTTCCCCTTTCAACACTAGCATGTCCAAAGAGCAGATTTATAAGATATTAGATTGCTATCTGAACCAGATAAAATTATAGACACATATTTAGGATTAGTGTGGGGAGTTTCTTCATATAGCTGGGGCTAAATTACAGAAGTGATAATTTTCTTCGTAAATATTTGACAACAGTAAATTGCTAGAAACCTTTTTGGGTGTGTCTCATTCTAAACTTAGAAAGGGATGATAATACTTTGTGGTAAGTGGTACTATTTATGCATGCTTTTCCAGGGAATTGTGCACATATACTCATGCGAATACTAAATATTCTTGGTGACTAATGTTATAATTAACACCAGACGAAATAGTGCTTGACTTGGCAAACTGTTTTTTTTTTTGCACGTTTCTTCTTTTTTTTAACACTTGCAAGTTGTCATCTGGAAGGCTATGGGAAAAAAGAGCTAAATTAATCACCAATATTCCCCTGTTTAAAAAAAATATATATATATATATATATACATATATGTATAGAATGAATATATGCATAAAATATACATATATTTTAACAGAAGGAAGTTGATGGTTAATTTATATTTTATTATGTATTATGTTATAATACTTACACATATATTCTTATTGTAAAAGATGGAGATAATAGGTAACTATCGTAGCATAGCTATAAAATACTTACATTTTGTTGTCATCAGTTTTTTGAAAGACTCAGCCCACTGGAACACTTCTTCCAGAGTAAGGCTTTGGAAAGAAACAAGACAGTTGAATGCCCCAGCTGATTTTGTAAGTCTTTCTGAATAAAAGCTAAATGACTAAACCTTGGAAATGTGTATTAAATGAAACAACATAGAATTATGCCTATCCTTTGGACAGGAGCTCATTCTTCACTGATTCCTTTTACATTTTAGATAATTTGGTGTTTGATATATCATGAATTTGTAGTTTACTAAAATCTAAGGCCAAGTAAATTGAATCACTACATGCTATTGCACCATAAAATATGATGAAATGTATAGTAACTTTGACATAGCAAGCTAGAATTTATATAGCACTTTAAGGTTTGCAAGGCTTTTTATTTACGCTATCCCATATAATCCTCAAAATAACCCTGAAAGATGGGTGAGGAAGGGAAGAATGAATGGGAAGGGAGTAAGTATTTATATAGTGCCTACTATGTCCAGGTACTATGCTAAGCATTTACAAATATTATCTCATTTTATCCTCACAACAAACCTGGAAGGTAGGTCCTGTTATTATCCCCATTTTATAGTTGGGAAAACTGAGGCAAACAGAGGTTCAGTGACTTGTTCAGGGTCACACAGTGTGTGTGTGTGTGTGTGTGTATGGCCCAGTGTTGTATGTACCGCATCACTTAGCTGCTATTATTATGCCAGTTTCACAGATAAGGAAATCAGGGCTGTGAGAGGTTCAGTGACTTTTTTTTTTTTAGGTTTAGACTGCTACAAAGAATCAGAGGTAAGATTAGAACTCAGCTTTTCCTTATTCCAGGCCCCTTGCTATATCCACTATTGTACTATCTCTTCCTTGGTTATAATAGTAAATATTCACATTTACACAGTACTTTAAAACTATAAAGAATTTTATGTTATTATTCCATTTGCTCCTCGGGCAAACTCTGTAAAATATATTGTGTAAGTATTGTTATTCCTCTCTTATGGTTGTTGAAATAAGAGTGATTTGCCCAATATCCTAGAAGTAGAAAGTGACAAAGAACCCTATCTTCTGACTTCCTAGTGCTTTGTAATCTTGGATTAATTTCAATCCCCATTCAAATGACAAATGAATTTACTTCATGGTATTTCATTAAAACAACAATAAGAACAATAGACTATCATTATTTCTATTATTATTAATGATAGCCTTTTCCTATCATAATAATAATAACAATAATAGCTAACATTTACATAGCACTTTAAGGTTTGCAAAGCACTTTACAAATGTCTCATTTTATCCTTACAACCATACTGGGCGGTAGGTGCTTTTATCATCCCCATTTTACAGATGAAAAAACAGAGGAAGAGAGAAGCTAAGTGACTTGCCCAGGGTCACCCAGTTAGTCTTAGATTCAATATTCTTACCTGCACCACCTAGCTGTTTCTCATTATAACGCATCCTTCTAAGATTTTCTATCCAAGATAACTCTACAGCCTCATTTTCAATAGAATGTGCCCTGAGTTGCTTTTCCATTTGTTTTATCAACAGTATTCTTTTTGTAAGACAATCAGGCAGAGTTGGCATCAGTGTTCCCTCTAATTATTTTTTGCAATTAGATGACCGCATTCCATGTTGGAAGGGACTTCCAGGATCACCTAGTCCATTCAATCAATCAAAGCCCAAATCCCACTTGTTGCCAACTGTTCTCTCAAAGGAAGCAGAGCCATTGCTGGGAAATTATTTCCTACAGCTTCCTCCTTCCTCTCACTTCTGCTAGTAAACATTAAAATAAGTTCACCTACAAGATGGCCAATAGACTTGATGAACATTAGAGATGGAAGGGATATTGGAGGTCATCTAGTCTGACTCTTCCTCAAAGGAGTCAGGTAGTGTAGTGGAGAGAACATAGAACTCAGGGTCAGGAGAGCTGGACTAGATTTCTGGCTCTGATATTTCATAGGGTTGCTTGATTAACAGGAAGTCCTCCCTGACTCCTCAACAATATCTCTTTCCTGTTTGATGATAGGTGGTGCAGTGTAGAGCATATTGGATTTAGAGTTAAGAAGACTTGAGTTCAAATCCTGCCTTAGACACTAGCTTTGTGACCCTGGGAAAGTCACTTAACCTTTGTTTGCCTCAGTTTTCTCAACTGTAAAATGGGGATAATAATGGCACCTAGGGTTATGAGTGAGGATTAAATGAGGTATTTGTAAGATATTTGTAAATTATTATTATTATGATTATTATGATTATGATTATTATTGTCATTAACTGGGAGTAAGTCATTCATTCAACAATTCTATAACTGAGATCAAGGAAATTAGAAATACCTAGAACCAAAGTTATCATTTGGAGTGTGTTTGAAAGGAAATCAAGGTATAAATTACCACTATTGGATCCTTTACGTTTTGATTGGGGGGGAGGGGGTGGAGGTTGTGGCAAAGCAGTAGGACATTGGGTATCTGAAGGGATTTGGGCAGTGCCATCTAGTGGGGAAAGCTTATAGAACGTGTAGAATAGGAGCACTGAAGGCAAATTCTTTATAATTTTTGTTAGGCCCATGCCTGCATTCTTTTAATTGGAAAGGAAAAACAGAATCTCTGTTACTTAGAGAAATTCTATATTGCTTGAAGTTTTGCTGGAACATTGGTTAAGGACGTGTAATCTTAGAAAGGGACATGCAGTCATAAAATATTTATAAAGAAATATACTTTTATTCATTGCAAATCATTAAAGAGTGTTGTTTAATAATAATAATAGCTAGCAGTTATGTTCTTTATAAATACCTGGAAAAAATGTTTAGAGAATTTGTATCATGAAATGTATTAGTATTATATGTTATTAGCATATCCATTTATGGAAGTGAATGCTTCTGAAATGAAAAAAAGTAATGTGTAAACAATTTATTCTCATAAACATTTTTCCCTTCAATTTTCTTTCCACTATATAACATGAAGGAAATGCATTCTCAACCAGACAAGCAAGAAAAATAAACAAAAAAAGAAGCTATTAGAATTCCTTTGTGAGACTTTGACAACTTTGCTGTGATGACTTTGGTCAGGATACATTGGAGGAATTGTCAGGTTTCTTTTGTGTGCTCCAGGGTATATATGCATGTATCAAGACAGTCTCTTTAAAGAAGGGCTATGAAGGTGGCATGAACAGGAAGAAACGGATAGGAAGAACGTGAAGGCGTAGTTGTGGTTCTGCCACCAAAGACCTGTGTGACCTTGAGCAGGTTATTTGGTTTTTCTGAGCTTCATTTCCTTCATCTGTAAAATGGGGGAGTTCAGTCAGATGACCCTTAAGGTCTCTTGTTGTTCTAAAATCTTATGTACCCATGTAGAGCTATCCATAACTCTTTTTGAACTTTTTAAGTTGCCTGGGGGTATTGAAAAGTTTGAGTATCTTGCCTGCGGTCAAACAGACCCAAGAAGACTTGAACCATTAAAATTTGGATGTAGTAATGATCATAATAATTACATACCTGTATAGTTGATTATTTAAATGTTATACATATATATATATATATATCATATAATTTGTAATGCTTGTATGTTATTATAGCTATATAATTGACAACTGACATATTTTCAAATCTGTTGCCTGCAACCTTGCTTTTGAAATCAGGCACAGACATGGGGAAAAATAAATTTCTAGATGGGAACAGGGTGTCCAGTGGATCACCCCTATCTTAGTTAATTTAGTGTGAGAGCATCAGGAACAGCCATCAGAAATGGCTGATATTTGATATCTAGGAGGAGAATTTGTCAAAGGGTAAACATTAAGGTATGATATGGAGGTAAAAAAAAATTTGGAGTCCTGAAAAGGTCAAATGTCTGTCTCTAAAAATTCAGACGGACACTGCCAGGTTCAGATTATCTGTTTGCATCATTACTGAGGCTTAACAGAATACTGCTGTTTAGATTGGTTTCAAAAACATTTCCATGAAATGGTGTCTGACTCATTCTTCTTCTCTTATTAGAACCTGAAGTACAGTAACCCAAAATAACTCTCCCCTCTAGTGGAGACAGAAAAGTGCAAGGACATTATGGATTTCACACTTACCTGTCCCATCCATACCTATCACTTGGACTAGATTTAAATTTGTCCTGTTAATTCAGGTCAAGTCATTCCCCTTGACTACTCTGATGGGAGAAGGTCTTGTGCCTACAAGATCTGTCAGCTTCTGCAGAGAAAGACTATGTTTCAGGGTTGACTCACCAGTCAGGACTAACCCTAATTAAAGAGGTAGAGTTTATGGAAAGTTTTCCACCAGTTGTTCTGTAGTTTTATGCTGCTCAGTGAAGGCCCTTAACTGTCCCCTAGTGCTCTACCTCAACTGATTTTCCTAGGAAGTACTCCAAAAACTGTACTTTGGTTTCAGCACTCCCCCTGACCACATCTTCCCGTACAAATGTACCTTATAATAGTAACAGTTAGTATTTTAACCAATCAATAAATATTTATTAAGAGCCTACTATATGTGATACATCCTGCTAAGGGCTAGAGATACAAAAAAAAAAAAAAGGTAAAAGACAGTTCTTGCCCTCAAGGAACTTACAGTCTAATTTATGTAGCATTTTAAGATTTGCCAAGTACTTTATATGTATTATCACATTTGATCCTCAGAAAAAACCTGGAAGTTAAGTGCTATTATTATTACTACAATTTTTTTTTTCCCTATTAGACTGCTAGGTGGTGTAGTGAGTTCAGTACTGGTTTTGGAGTCAGAAAGACCCGAGTTCAGACATGGCCTCAGACATTTCCTAGCTGTGTGACTTTGGGCAAATTATTTAATTGATGTCTTGGTTTCCTAAACTTTAAAATAGGGATAATAAAGTACCTATCTCCTAAATAATATTTGTAAGGGGCTTAGCATAGTGCCTGACACAGTGGGTACTTAACAAATGCTTGTTGCCTTCCTTTCCCTTCTTCCAGTTCAACATTCGCCTCATTGTACTATGATCCTCCGTATTAACCATATTCATGAAACAAGACACTTTAAAGAAAAAAAAAGTTTTTTCCCCCCTGAAATCTAGGTTAAAGTATGCCTACAGCATTACTTTGATTTACTAGCTTACTAAACCCTGTCTCGAAAAAAAAAAAGGAAGCATTATGGTTACACAAAAGGCCATCACAAACAAGGACTAATAAAAATAATAGTTCGTATTTTTTAAGCACTTTAAGGTTTGCAAAACGCTTTACAAAAACTATGTCATCTTTTCTCACAATAGCTCTTAAGAGGTAGGTGTTATTATTATCCCGATTTTCTAGTTGAAGAAATTGAGACTTAGAGGTTAAATTATTTGCCCAGTGTCACATTTCTAAGTAAGGGTTGGAGGCAGGATTTGAACTCAGGTCATCCTGACTCCAAATTCAATTACACTATCTTCTGGCCATCTAGCTTGGTATCCATTAAAGATCACTAAATGTACTGAGGTGAGGGTACTTTGTGCCCTTAGTCACTATGAGAAAGCATGAGTCCTGAGTGATGAAGGGGTGTTCATAGGGAAATTATGCTGTCAAGAGGGATGGAGAAGCACAAAGGATAGAAAGTTGTTTCTGGATTCTAGACATGATCCTTCCTAGAAACAATAATCACTGGCATTTTCATAGTGCTTTATGTTTATATTGTCTTATTTGATCCTTAACAACAGCTCTGTGAGGTAGATATAATGGGCATTGTCCCCATTTTACAGATGAGGAAACTGAGGCAGACAGTTTAAATAACTAATCTGTGGTCATGCAGTTGGCAAGTATCAGTTGGTAGGATTCAAACCCAGGTTTCTCTCTCCACACTGTGAGTTCAGTGTTCTTTCCACTATACTTTTAGACCACATGGCTTCAGGAATTCCCTTGGGTCATAGACCCAGGGAATGTCAGTAGCCTCTAGTTAAGTTCTTTTCCTTTGCTAATAAATGTCTGAAAAATGGATGATGATCTTTAAGGCTAGCTAGTCTAATATGTCTATCTGTGTTAATGACTGAACAATGGCTTAGGGTTTCTTAAAAATAGCTTATCTTTTCTAGGCAAGGCCTCCTAGAGGCACATTTTAAGTCAAAGCAATGACTCTCAAATAGTAAGATTCACAGAAATCTTAAGGAACAATAGGCTGGCTTGGAAGGGGGGACGTTTAGGGGCTTTCAATGTCCCTCAAATCATGAAAGTAGATAGATATTTTTCTTTTCTTTCCTTTATTATTATTTTATTTTAAACTTAAATGCTAAAACAAATAAACAATAAGAAAAAGAAAAGAAGCATAAACTTAAAAATATAAAATAAGAAAAGAAAAAAAGATACTTTCCCCTTTCTGTGTGTAGGACAAACTTACAATTAGAATTAGAATAGAGGAATTTAGGAAAACAAGGCTTACCAACTATAGAATTTAGACTAAAGACTACCATTTATTGACCGAAATTAAAATAAAAATTAAGCTTTGTGAATGTTAGGGAACACTTTACACTATTACAATACTCTCTCGTTTCTCACCAAATCTTTTTTTTTCCAATAATAAAAACAAGTAATGATGAAAACACTTCTCTGTCATTTGAGGACATTATGGGATAAAGCTGAATATGAGCAGATAGACAACATGTTACCAGAATCTTCCAAAGTGTATGTTTTTTTTAATATAACTTGTAACTAATTTCTTTTTATTTCTTCTTTTGGTTGAACAGCCTGTTTGTAATTAAAATGATAGATGCATAAATAAATATATATCAACCATTGTAAATCTGTTTTTATAATGATCATAGAATTTGTTCTACTTACTTTGAAGAGATCCCATTGGATTTCTTTCTTCCTCTCTTACAGAGCCAACAAACTCTTGTGCTCATTTTTCTAAATAAAATAAAATAATAATTTAATCAGGAATTTTTGAATTATTAAACATTTTGAGTTATTTTTGAAAATACAGAAATTATAAATACTTTTAAAAAGGTCATTTCTTCAAGTAGTGGAGAGCAATTAAAGAAAAAAATGGAGTTATAAGAACCTACCTCCAAGAAATATTTCTAGAACTATAGAATTTGGCAACTGAATTGAATCATGGAGGACATAGATCATAGAGGACATTGATTCTAATATGCCATATGAGAAGGAATCACCTGCTTCAAAATCATTTACAGGTTAGTGAAACATCATTTGGCTCCTTTTTGAATGCTTCCATTGACAGAGAGATCACTAATTCATAAGGCAGTCAATTCTGTTTTTGTATAGCCTTTAGTTTTACATAATACTTTTGCATTAAATTTTATATTTTATTTATATTATATTTTAATTAAATTCTATATATGACAGAATTACATAAAATATAAATATATATTTTAATTAAATATATTAAATTTATTATATTTTATATTAAAATCCTCCTTTCCCCCATTTAACCTCTTTCTACACATCCTAGATCTAAACTCTGGATCTATATGGAATATCATATCTTTCAATCATAAGATAGCCCTTCCGATATTTGAATATCATTACCATGTAACTCATTCTCTTCTTTCGGCTAAGCACCCCCAGTTCCTTCAGTCATTCTGCTTATGACATGTTTTCAGACCCTTTCCTGTGCTGGTCATCCTCTTCTGGGCAAGTTCCACTTTGTCTTAAATGTGGCTTAACACAAGTCCAAATGTGGTACAAAATAAAGTAGGACTCTTACACATATTGACCTACAAAATATATTAAGAATTAATCCAATAAAATGGAAACTTCTTTTTAGGGAACTCAAAGGTATCTTAATAGGAATTTGTAATAAAATATTAATTTTAATAAGAAGAACATACTTATGGTTAAATGGTATTTCTAGAGTTCAAAACTATTTAGAAAGTCAGTTAGCTCATGTACAAAAAAAGATGATTTTATTCCCAGAAATATATTCTTCAATGATTATAATTCCACATTAGTCTTTTTTTCATATTTTTGATTTTGTTTTTAATTGGATTCTCAGTGATATTGTCATTAACCCTGTGCGCGCGTGTGTGTATATATATATATATATATATATATATGTGCGTGTGTGTGTGTGTGTTGTGTGTGTGTGTGTGTGTGTGTGTATGTATGTTAAGAGTAGCCAATGAAATGCATTCTTGGGCTGTGAAAGAACTGGTAGATGTAATTGTTGAGCCACTGTCAGTGATATCCACAAGATCACGGAAAAGAGGACATGTGCCACAAGAAGGGAGCAGCATAACTGTACAGATTTTCAAAAAAAGTTAAGAGACCAGAGTTAAACTACAAGCCATTGAGCTTGATTTTGATTCCTGGGAAAATTGTAGAATGGATCATTAAAGAGATGTTTACTGAGCCATCTAAACCAAGAAAGGGACACAAATGTTACAAAGAGCCAGCATCACTTCATCAAGAAAAGGTCATGTCAGGCTAACCTTGTTCCTCTCTCTCTCTCTCTCTCTCTCTCTCTCTCTCTCTCTCTCTCTCTCTCTCTCTCTCTCTCTCTCTTTCTCTCTCACAGGATTACTAAGCTTATAGATGAGAGGAATGTTGTAGATACAGCTTACATGAATTTGAGCAAAGTTTTTTTTTTTAATAAAGCATCACATACTATTCTTATATATAAGATGGAGAGATATGGTGAGATGATAATATAATCATAGGCATCCATGATTAGTTGGATGGCTGGATTCAAGAGTCATTGTTAATGGTTTAATGTCAATGTGCAGAATGATCTTCAGTAGAATACCCCAGGGATTTGTGCTTGACATTGTACAGTTTAACACTTTTTTGGGGGTTTGTTTTTGTCTTTTTTTTTTTGCTAGGCAATGGGGTTAAGTGACTTGCCCAGGGTCACACAGCTAGTAAGTCTTATGTGTCTGAGGCCAGAACTGAACTCAGGTCCTCTTGAATCCAGGGCCGGTGCTCTATCCACTGCACCACCTACCTGCTCCCAGTTTAACACTTTTAATAAATGACTAAAGATAAAGTCAAATTTGGAGATGAAGTAAGCCTGAGTAGGCTAGTTACCAGTAGTTGACAGTTGGGATCCAAATGGATCTTGACAGGCTAGCACTGGGCTGAATATGATGAAATTCAGTATATGTGAAACCTTGTACTGGAGTATAAAAATTCAACTTCACATAAGAAGGTGGAGGCATGGATAGGCATCTATCTTTAAAAGATCTGGAGTTTACAGCACAATGAAAGCTTAATATGAGTTACCAGCGTGATACTGAAGCAAAAAATAAACAATCAAATGCCAACTTGGGCTGCATTTAGGAGGGCATAGCTTCCAGAAAAAGGGAAGTGACCTAATCTGGACCATGTTCGCTTCTGCCATATGCTAAGGATATTGACAAATTGTAAAGTGCTCAGGGGAAGGAAATACGGGTGGTGAGTCCAAATCATATGAGAATACATCGAAGGAACTGAACATATATAGTTTGAAGAATGGAAGTAGTGATAATTGTAACTGACATTTTGAAGGGGTGCCATAAAAGAGGAAATAATCTTGTTCTCTCTGTTTCTAGTGGACCAAATGAAGACCACCGAGTGGAAATTGCAAAGAGGAAAGGAAATTGCAAAATTCAGGCTTGATTTCAGGAAAAAACAAACAAACAACTTCCTGACAATTAGAGCTATCTCAAAGTGGAAGGGGCTCCCTAAAATGGTGATTGGAGGTCTTCAGGCAGTGGCTAGAACATGATTTGTTGGTTATGTTGTAGTGGGGAATCCTTTTATATGTGACCTAGAAAAATTCTTCCTAACTCTCAAATTCTGAGATTCTAGGAAATGCTAGGGATATGGATATATCAGATAGAGTCCTGTTTGTCAAGGAGTTATTAGAGGAGGAGGAAGCTGTATGATAAAATAGATAATAATGCAAAATAGCATGTAAGTGCTAAATGGAAGGTACAGGTAAGTGCTAAGGAATGGAGATTAAATGATCACCATAAACTCAATTGATCCCTGAAGACTAGAAGAAGTGAGACAATGTTTTTCTGCTTTTCCACTGGGTTATTTCTTCTAATTGTATGGTAGGTAGGGATGCTTTCCAGGAGTCAGATTCATGGATGAGACTAGTCATTGACTAACCTTTGGCCAGTCAGTAACTCAGGCCCTTGCTTTAGAGACTGATCAATGTCAATGCACTTCCAGTACTCCCAGACCTGCAAAGAGAGAAAAAAAATTTAAAAGGTTCTTTAAAGAGAATTTATTTTCATACAAAAATACAAGACATATGGTCCTTTGCAAGAAACAGGGGAAAATAACTCATGGGGAAAGATGAAAAAGGGCCAACTGCCAAATGTATTAAAATCAAGCTTTCATAAACATGCAATTGTGTTGAGAGCTTGTTTGACACGTCATCATTCAGAGGAAACTGCCAGCAAGCTATGTGCAGCTATAGTACAAGTAGGTTAGTTTTAATGACTAATCTTGGTCCTGAAAGGGAAAACAAAATGATTAACTATATCTCTCTCTTCAGAAGATAAACGGGGGTCAAGAGGTACAGAATGTTACATATTTTGTCTGATAGGCCATATCAAGACCAATGGTAGAAAGATTCCATTTCAGAATCATAAGCTTATCACTGGTCAGAATTTAGGAATCTCTTTCAAAATAAGTAAATTTTAAAAATTTGCAAACAATTTTTGATTTTTCTAGTATGTTTAAGTTACTGTGTTATATACTGAGGAGATATTAGGAGATTAATAAAACAAAATTTGTGTTCTAGAACTTACAGTATAGTTAAGCAAATAAAGCATTTAAATAAATAATTATAATACATGGTTAAAAAAAAGACACATGCATACTGCAAGCCTACCCTATCTAGAATTGTTCACCAATTCCACATAAACATAATATTAAGTAAAATAGCATTACAGGAGTAAGGATTAAATTCACTATTAAATTCACTACATATGCATATGCAGTAAGCATATGATGGTGGTAAGCTGGCTGATGCCGCAACTTTGCTGGGGCTCAAATGGGAGCTTGCATCATTTCTGATCCTCTGATTTGCTTCTCATGTGACCTGATAAATAGGTTACAGTGGAGATTTGCAACATGTCTATTTAGTTGGCTGCTTGGGAATATGAACAATAGGAATATAGCTGTCAGAGTGAATAAGTTTGAGGTGGAGTCACTTGTAGGACTTGACCCCTCAGCAGTGCCTTGCAAGACTATGCAAGTATAGAAAAGCCAGTAGAGGGCTCTTGGTCATTGCTGGTGTTATCACTCCTGCAGACCAGCTACTTCCTGTTATCACTCCTGCAGACCAGCTACTTCCTTGCATTGAGGGTTCTTTAGAAATCCTATTTTAAGAAAGAGTGTTTGACTCCTCAGGGTCAAGGCTCCTGAAACTGTGGAAAACCCACACTCTTTTCTTTTATGCTGTGAATGTTGATCAGTCAACCAGTACTCATTAAGTGCTTACTTTGTGCCAGGTCATATGCTAAGAACTGGGGATAAAGAGAAGAGCAAAATTAAAAAAAAATGAACCAAAAACCCTAAAACAAAACAATACAATTCCTGCTTTCAAGAAGTGTACATTCTACCAGGGAGATAAACATGAAAAGAACTAGCTACATACAAGATATATATATATATATATATAATATATATATATATATATATATATATATATATATATATATATATATACAGAGTAGATGAAGGTCATCTGAAAGGGAAAGCATTAGCATATAGGAATACTGGGATAGGCCTGATTCCTAGCTGGAGTGAGAGGTCACTAGCCCTTTACTTAGTTGCTATGACCTTTTGTCTTCCTTAGAAAGTAAATGGCATAGACCCAATTGTTTTATTTGCTATTAGACATTGGAGGTCTCTAGAGTCTGGATTTTGAGTTAGCCAATCCATCAATTCAGTCATCAACGGTAAGCTGAGAGAATGGCGATATATAGTCTACAAATGTAGGGGGAGGTCAATGAGAGCCACTTTTGTGGGTAAAGATGTCTCTTCCTTTACATTAGAGAATGAATTTAATACTACTAGATGCTGGGTACAGTTTTGGTCCATGAATCCACACCAAAAACAACCAAATCAGAATAATGGCATGATTAGCTATCCTTGATCAAATGGATTATTCTCTCAGATTTATCATGAGATCCCTCAAATCCATCTTGATTTACTATTGCTAGAATTTGAGGGGAGGTCAAAGAAGATGACAGCCTTGGGCAACCATTCCTAATATGAAGGCTTGGCAACATGGGAGGAAGTGAAGGGAAATGACAGATGTGACAAAAGGGAAGGCAATGAGGCAGGAACAGCAAAAGGGAAAGGAACTAAGAAACTCAGAAACACTGAATAGGGTAGAAGTTAAGTCACTCAGTAAGATGAGAATCATTAAGTGCTTACTGTGTGCCAGGCACTACATTAATCAATGGGAATGCCAAGAAAGGCATAAAACAAACAGACAAAAACAGTTCCTGCCCTCAAGGACTGCACATTCCAATGGGGAGACATGTAATAACAATTTACCTATAAGAAGATGAGCTACAGAATCACAGAATTTTAGAGTTTTATGGGGCCTTTTTAATCCAATCCGTACTCCCAAAAGAATCTCTACTACAACATACTTAATAAGTGTGCATCCAGTTATTGCTTGAAGACTTTCAGTGAATCAGAACCCAGTACTTTCCAAGGCAGCCCATTCCTCTTGGGAATACCTTGAATTGTTTGGTAATTTTTCCTGACCTCAATTCTGAATTAGCTCCTTTGCAATTTCTAACTTTTGCTCCTAATTCTGGAGCCAAAGAGAAGTTAGCACATGTGTGATAGTAATTTTTTTTTCTTTCATGAACCCAAAGGGGAAAGGCAGCATCCCTTAAAATACAAAAAAATACATTGGCATACCACGTATCTATGGAGATACTTTAAGGTGGATGGCAAAGCACAGACCCCGAGATACTTGGCTGGCCACAGCCCTAAATTTTATTCAATGTAAATTAGAAACAGGGTTATTCAGGCTATTTGTCAAAGCCAGGATTTATACTCTTGATCATTAGGCTGTGCTACCTTGTTCTGGAAAAGTCAGAGTGATTGGATCATGCCACAAATATGGATTACAGGTCAGAAAATTGGGAAATGTCATTGATATAGAAAAATTCTTTCATAGACAGTGTTCTTTTGTGGGTTTCAGAGCCAGGGGGATTAATCCTATATATTTAACAGGTGGAAGAAAGGATAAGGACATGCATGGGTGGAAACCTTTTCTATTTGATCTGGCTATGGCTTAGCAGAGCATAATTTGATGTAGCCTGGTCTATTTTGTGTATGGAAACAACCAGCCTATGTCTTGAAAATGGTTCTCATCTTTGCTAATTAGCACATACTTGCAAATGTCTGGCTGAGCTTTTCTCCTGCTATTCCCACAATAGGTTGAGCTAGAAAGGTAGTCTGTGGCAATTGTGGTAAGCTCTTGCTAGTTCATAAGTGAGAAAAGAGATAATTTTGCTTTTTAATTCAGTGAGTCCAACATTTATTAAGCACCAAGTATGTGTAAAATCTATGTGTGGCACTGAGGATAGAAATACAAGGACAAAAGAACAAACAGGGGCTGCCTTCAAGGATCTTAGAGAAGGCTTAGCCTGGGAATTTACATCTTTGAAGGAAGCTAGGAATTTCATGGGACAGATTTGAAGAGAGAATGTGTCCTGAGTATGGAGGATAGGTTGTACTGAGGTATGGAGATGTGGTATATGAAATTTACTGGCTCTGTAAAATAGTCAGAATGCAGAGTATGCCATGTGACAGATCTCCAAAAAATGGGTGGCAATCATATTGTTGAGAGTTTTAAGTGCCTGTGTAAGAGGTTGGTATTTTATCCTGGAGATAATAACAAAATGCATTGAACATTTTTGAGAAGGGAAATGTCTTGGTCAGAATATTGATCTGACAGATAACATGGAGGGTGGGATATAGAGGGAGAAACTGGAAGCTGGGAGACCAACTAGGAGATGATTATAATAGTTGTTGGGAGAGGAGCTAAAGGACATGGCCAAACAAATAACATATTTTAGAAGCTGGATTTGGACTCATATTTCTCCTGATTACAATAATAATTGTTTTTTCTTTTTTACTGCCTCATTCTGCTTTTTACTAAAGAGAAAAGGCCAGGGCAGAAATTTGGAGAATATATATACTTTTTGGACAGGAAATACATAACGATGTAGCACCAGAAACTGAGAGAGTGTTCAAATAGATAGATTGAAAAACTATAGAGTAGTGTAATGGAAACCAAGGGAGGAGATAATATGCAGTAAGAAGGGTGGTCTCAAGAACAAGAGAATGGTCTAGCAGGATAGGACTGGGCACAGGACACTGGAATTTTTAGTTACAATGTCATTGGTGACCTTAGAAAGAACAATTTCAGAATTTCAGAATCTGAGAACTGAAAGACAGTATGACTACTATATAGTATCACTCATACACAAAAGGAATCCCCACTAAACGATACCCAGCAAATGATCATTTGACCTCTGATTAGAGACATTTGAGAAGGAGGAACTTCATTGGAGTTGTGGGATTAGAAGCCAGATTTCAAAGGTGTGAGACATGAACAACAGATAAGGACACAGAAACAACTTCCGAGTGTAGCTAGGATAGATGTGATACCATGGCCTAAAATCATTCAAGGAATGTTGGCCCAAGAGGGATGGGGATATCTCAAGAATGAAATTCTGACAAAAGGAATATAAGTTATTCCAAAGAACAATAAGAAAGAGTAGACATCTATAGGGACAAATGTAAACACATATAGAACTACTTAATCAACCAATATGGGAGGGAAAACCCCCCAAAATGTGCAGAGTTGTAAACCAAGACAAATAACTAAGGATGACTACAAAAATGTCAGAATACTATCAGGATTGTTATAGCTCAAAAGTTGCTGGCTCAAGAGTGAATCTTAAAAACAAACAAACAAAAAACAGCATTTTGTTTTGTTTTAAATGTAATAGGGGAACGGCCAATGAGGACCCAGTCCTTAGAGAATGGCCAGCTATGCTATTTCTAGTGGAGTATGCATAATAGAGTATGCATAATATTTTCTGCCTGCTGTCAAACTAACACATGGAACTTTGTGTAGCCAGTTTCTAGCTGTGAGTAAACGAGGAGTCATAAGTGAGTATGTGATGATGAATTGTTGTCTGGTTAGCTGAGGAGCAAGAAGTATTAATCATTCAAGAAACGCTTAGCTGGAACTAGATATGCATGCAACAGGCTCTCTTCTCTTAGTGCTTTTGAGTGACAAGGACTACATGCCATTAGATGCCTGGTGGAGGAGCTGTTTCCCCATCATTTGTCTTGAACATATGATGTTTCTTTAGTGTTTTTTTTTTCTTGATCTTAGGGTGAATACGTGCCTGGAGACTGGGTGGAACGGTTATGATCTTGTGATCTTTTAAAGGAAGTGCCATCAGAGAGACCGTCAATGCAGTCAGTAACATAGGTCACTGGAATTGGCAGCAAGCAAGAGTAGCTATGTCCACTAAAGAATTAGCCCCGAAGAGTGACTTGATCAGCCTAATCAATCAATAAATAAACATTTATTAATTTCCTACTGTGTACCACATATAGTACTAAGCACTGGGGATACAAAAAGAGGCAAAAGACATTTCCTGCCCTCAAAGAACTTAAAATCTAATGGGTGAAATAACATGCAAATATATATATATATACATATATATATGTATATATATATATATGTACACACACATATATATGTATGTATGCATGTATGTATGTATGAAGGATAAGTAGGAAATAATTAGTAGAGGGTAGGCACTAGAATTAAGAGTGGTTGATAGTAGGCTGTTCTAGCACCTGAGTTATTGCATACTTCAAGGAGGTAGCACAGATAAGCAAGGGAGTGCCTCACCTTGAAACAAACTCAGTGTGAACTCCTTTAAGGGAGAAAAAACTCTGAAAGGCAGAATTCAGAATGTGTCCTTTAACAACACATTCTCTATATGTACATTTAAGCTTCAAGTTTGAATCCATTTTCCCCAGCAGATGAATGTATATAAAAGGGGAAATATACATCCAGTTTGAGGGATATTTTTGTCACTTTTGTTCTTGCTATGCCTTTTCAGTAACTATTCTTTTATAGAAGCTAATTAGTATCAACTGGTTAATCCGTATTTTAAGGATCACACCAGATGGAAGGTTGTAGATGACAGTGTTACAAAGCGCAGTAATCCCTCAGTATTGCTAGATAATAGAACTCTGAGGGAACAGCTAGTCAGCCTCGTTCTGTGGACACAACCTGATAAATCAGTGCAAATTGGGAGAGTGAAGCCAGAAAGGATGCTATGATTAAATTATAATAAAGAAAAGAAGATAAAAGCAGGGATACTTTTGCAGCTTATGATGGGTGAGCTAATGACAATAGATTGTAGAAAGAAGGCAGTTATCGAACTCTGATTCTGTTTACACTACCAATAAAAAGTGATCAATAGATTTGGAAAGATAGAATAAAATTTGATTACAAAGAATTGTAATGGCATAAATCAGATAGTAAGAATATATATATGTGTATATATATGTGTATGTATGTATATGTGTGTGTATATGTGTATATATACATATATACATTCAGTGGATTCATGTCAACAGAATTAGACAAACTGCATTTCATGATTGGACTAGTGCAGATCCACTGTCAATAATCTTTGAACATGAGGGCAGCTAGATGGTGCAGTGATTAGAGCTTTGGCCCTGGATTCAGGAAGACCTAAATTCAAATCTGTCCCCAGACACTTGACACTTACTAGCTGTGTGACCCTGGGCAAGTCACTTCACCCCATTGCCTCGCCAAAAAAAAAATAATAATCTTTGAACATTCATGAAGAATAGTTTAGGGAATGTAGTATTAGAGTTGGGTAAATACTTTTCCATTTTTCAAAAAGGGACTTCAAGTTTGTATAGAATCAGCCAGTGAACTTAGCCTTTGATTCTTGTCAACATTTTAGAAAACATAATTAAAAGGATGATTTGTGAACATTGTGAAAGATAATTGTGACCAGTAGAAGCCACCAGGAGTCCACTGAGAAAAGGCCACACCAGACTATTCTCATTTCCTTTTCTGACAGAGTTGCTAGACTGGTAGATCAATCACAGATGTATTTCTGAATAACAAGTAATTCGATGTCTCCTTTCAAACTTCCCATGTATTATCATTTTTAAAGACTCTGTAATTCTTATAATTCAGCTTTTCAATCTTGGAGTTATTATTGATTCTTCCATATCCCTCAACCCTCATATACCATCAATTACAAAATCTCATTGCTCCTACCTCCACACCATCTCTCAAATCTATCCTTTTCTCTCCAGTCTCACACTTTCCATCTGACTTCTGTCTTTCATCACCTCTTAACTGGACTATTGCAAAAATCTCCTAATTGGTTTTCTTGCCTCTAGTCTTTCTCACCTCCAATTCAGCCTCTATCCAATTGACAATTTGTATTCCTAAAACATAGTTATGACCGTGTTATCCTCCTGCACTCAAAACTATTCATTGTCTCCCTATTATTACATTCACACTCTTCAGCATAGCATTTAAAATCCTCCACAAGCTGATTTTTACTTTTGTTTGCAGCCTTCTGACTCCCAATCCAGTACTCTATCCACTACAACAATATATGGAGGCTACAGAAGCAGATATGTTCTCAATGTATGGACAAGCTTACTCATATTTAGAGCTTCCAAAAAGTAGAACTGGCTGCTTTAGAGAAGTAATGAGTTCCATATCCTGAAAGTTTTCAAATGGAGGCACTAAAACTATAGTGACATTAAAAAAAGATTCAGGAAACACTTCTAGATCTTGCAATGTCCTGAAATCATCCTTATGCATATCAATTATCATTGTATCACATAATCACTGTGGAAATTATAAGAAATTAAACTGTCATTGCATTGCCCTATAACAGTTACCTTTTTAAAGAAATCCTGAAAAAAATCCTAGATTTTTCACTTGTGTGCTTTTTCTTAAAGTATAATTGAAATTTTTGTAAAGTTTTAATTGAAATCAAGATTAAGTTATTTATATCTCTTGATTTTTTACACTAAATATGTGAGATCTTATTATGGTCATTTCAGTGCAGTAAGTATTTGTGCTTAGTACTGTGATAAGGGTATGTGATTCTAACTGTAAAAAACAGAGTTGTCATGAAAAATTCATGAGAAGATTTTCTAATCAAACTAACAGCCCGATACTAATCTTGCATCTTATTCTTTTGATATTTTTAATGATGGAGTAAGTCAAGAGATACAGAGGTCTTATATAAGTTTTACAGATGGATTTTTAAAATTTATTTCTTTAGTCAAAATACGTGATTTTTTTCAGTGTAAGGAACTTCAGTGTAAGTTTCCAATGATGGAAACTCCCCCTATCCAAGCAGATCAGCAAGTCATTTGTAAGCTAGAGACTTAAACAGTTGGCCAGGGCACTAACTTAAGTAATTTGTCCCTGGTTTCATGGATAGGAAGTTTTAGAGGGAGAATTTGAATCCCTGATTCCAAGACCAGCCCTTGCTAACTCTGACTTTCTGATGATTTAATAATGAAATGAAATATTATGGTAAATAGGAATTGGGTAACATAAAAATTTTAAATTCATACTTTCTTTCAAATAGGCAAATGGGGATACCTGGGCAAATACACTATTTTAAAATTCAGTGAACTGAAAAGTGTTTTTCAATATCCACATCACAGAATTATTTGAGATCATTAGCTCAGAAAATGTTGATTAATCGGAAACCATATCTTTGCTCTTTCCCAGATTTTACACTGTAACCTTGAAGTGAGAATACAGCATCTTATAAAATCTCTGAAAGTCGTGGTCAAATGTACACACGCAGCGAGAAATTGATTTATCCATTGCTTCACAATGAAAGGAGGTCTAGGATAATCTTTGGAATTTCATATAACTAGATGAAGAAGTCAATTCTTAAGCTGAGGAAAAAAAATTTTTCAATAGGAAAGTTGAGGGAAAACAATAGAAATTAAAATAATGGCACACCTATAAGCAAAAGTGGTTAGAAATTTGTAAAACTGGCTGTCGATACTAAAATAATAAGAGAAAGAATGAAATTTTCAACAGTCACATTCAAATCTTTCAAGAAATTTATTATAAAATAAAAATACTAAAATACATCTATTTTTCCTTTAAGCAATTGCAAAGAAATCTAACAGTGGACATTTTATTAACTGACAAAGTTCCTTCCAACATTACTATTCTATAACTGAAGTTACACATTGTGGTTTTGTAAACTCTGAAATCTTTTGATAGTTTTCTGGGATTCAGTTTTCCTGTTAATGACTTAAATTGTGTATCTTCATAAATTTTTTATTCAGCTTAATTGCATCCTCAAAATTATAGTCAAATAAGTAATTGTTAAAAACTTTAAACAAAAACTAAAATTGATACAAACTCTTTATAAAGCTTAGAGTGAAAAAAATAAAAGTTCAAACATACTATTCAAGATAATGAAATGTATAACAACTACCTTAATTTGTGGATATACTCACCAAACCTCACATCAACACTATATTTCCCCCTCATATTGGCTTATATGATATGTGGAAACATTCCATTGATCTAAAAATAAAACAAAATAAAAATAATGCTAATAAAATAGGTCATTGTGTGCTTCCTGGACAACACATTTTTGGCAGCAATTTCTATAAATACCCTGGCCTAGGGTTTAAGCAAATAATTTTTCCGGTTCATAAATGCTGGATTATGGTTAGCTTTATTTTAAGTTCATTAACTCCTTAGTTAGCATTTTAATAATTTTATATGTTAATATTTCCAAAATATCTGTTTCGTTGTTTTATGAGTTTTATAATGATATTTGACAAAGCATGCCTATATTATTCTGACATTTAATTTTTCCTTGTTCCTCTTCCTTCTTCTTAAATGAACTTCATGTGTAAATTTGAAAACCCAAGTAGAAAATTTTTAAAGCCTCTTTCTGTTCACGTAATAGCTCTTAACTATAACGTATATTTTTGTTACTCACTTGAAAGATTTAAAAAAGTATCTAGTAAGTCTAAATCTTGCTATGAAAACATCAAATGAGGGTAGATTTGGATGCATGTAATATCAGAAATGTTCCTTTGATCTTTTATGTTTACTTGAATTTACTTTGAAAAGTTATATTTATACAAACCCTAAATAAATCTCCCCTATTCAGGTCTTTTTAGTTGCAGGATAGGGGATCTAGAAAGTGTTCCTATGATGTATTGTGCAAAGGAGTTTGGATTTATTCTATTTCATCAGACAGGGGAGAACCAGCAACATTGGGTAGAAGCTGCAAAGGTGAAAATTTAGGTTTGATGTCAGGAAAAAAACCCAAAAACTTCTTAGCAATTTGAGTTATACCAAAGTGTAAAATAATGCCTTGAGAGATGCTGGGTTCCCCTCCAGGAATACCTTCAAGCAGAGGTTGGATAACAACTTAGTGGATTTGTCATCTGTGGTTTCCTCTCGATTGTGGGTTAAATTAGAGGGGTGCCAATATCTAATATTCTATGATTCTGTGTGATTCTATGTCATTAACCTTTTATTCTAGATGTAAGAGATACATTTTTAATTCTTCCATTTACCTATTCTAATCCCAAATTAGAAGCAAAATTCTGAAGCAAATGACATTTTATTTGCAGTAATACATAGCATTTTTGTTATTTAAAACTGTTGTGGTATATAGTTGAGCTTGCATAGAACATGAAGGAATGAAGGCATTCCATGTAATCAAGGTCAATAGATAAAAATGAACCCTCAAAATTATCCACAGCTGGAATCAATGTGACTTTTAAAACCTTGAAACAGTCTGAAAATGGCTGATTTTTCAAAACAGTTTTGGAATGGCTAATTTACTGAAAATGTCTCTATTTGAATACACACACACACACACACACACACACACACACACACACACTCTTTCTCACTCTGAACACATAAAAAAGAAAGAATATACTATACCCTGAAACTGCAGTATTTCTCTATTGCCCAATGAAGAAACTTCATTTATTATTGATACTTTGCCAAACAAACAGATCTTGCTATTGGTGATATGAATTTCATTTTCAACAAGTTCAGCCTAGACCAGGCAAAGATAAATGTCTTCTACCTTTTTTTTTTCCTTAGAAGAAACCAGTCCCCCTTTCCAGTAAAATTTTCTGTGTCTTAATGTGAAAGACTGGAAATCAACAACTACTAGTCCTTGTTTATATGAGGTAAACATTCAGCTACAAGGCATTTAACAATCGTTGTGCAGTCTGATACTTACAAATATGTCTTGCTGTGCAGAACATGTTATTTAATTGCTTCTACTTCCAGAAATATTCTTAGGGTCAGGTTTTGAAATTCCACAAGACAAGCAGGCTTCTCTTTTGTTTTTCTGTTAAGAATACTTTCCTTTCTCTCTGAGTACCTTTTTGGGTATACTAGACTACTGCATGGATCCTCTGTTTTACCCACACACAACACACAAGCCTGTATTCTTCTGTATCTATGCAAAATGAGGCTCTATTGAATATGAAAAGTAGTTCTGCAGGACTCTGATACATCACTGATAGAAGGACTTTGATCTAACATGATCAGACCAGCTGAAATGGTCAGATTATCAGAAGCAATGCATATTTTTTCAAGTCAGATATTTTATAAGTAATATTTTGTATCTTCTGGTTATATAAATTGTGTATCTAAAAGTCAAGATCTTCTTTGACAAGATAATGAAGCACACTTCATGAGATGCCTACTGCTGTCCCCCACTTCCTGTAAAATGAGTACACGTCACACAATGCTAGGGGACCTTGTAAAATTAGCTAGTTAATTACTTAAACTGTAGGCTTTAAACTTAGGGTTATCTCAGGCTTCTTAGAATGCATATAATCATAATATGTGTCAGTCATTGAAACTTCAACAAATTTATATGTCCTACCTTAGTTTTATAAAGGAATTTAAGAGTTATCCAGTCTAATCTCCTCAAAGCAGATATCCTTGAATCATAGAATATTAGCACTTTTCACTAATATAATTACCATTTAGAGAGAACCCTATGGATAATATAGTCTAATCTTCTCAATTTTAAGATAAGAAAATAAATATGGAGAGAGGAAGTGAATTTGTCTAAGGTCACATGGCTGATGAATGGTATAGATAGTAATGAACCCCAAATCTCTTCGTTCTCAGTCTATTGGCTATTCCACTGTAACATATAAATTGATAGGCTTGCTAGAAGCCAGTCCAACCTTTTCACAAATACCTTCAGTGACAGAATGGTCACTAACTTGGAAGGTAGCCATTCCACATTTTTGATATTCCCTATGGTTAGAATTCTTCCTTATTCTGAGCTATAAAGTCTGCCTGCTGAAATATATTCCATTAGTTCTAGTTCTGCCTTGTCTAACTAAAATAGGTTGTCTATACTTTCTTCCATATGCAAACTGTTCAAATATTTGAAGAATTTCCTTTCGGTCCTCTCTCCTTCAGCTTAATTTTTACCATTTCTTTCAATTGTTCCTTACATTTCTTATTTTCTAAACATTTCAACATTTTCTTGCCTTCTTCTGCATGCTCTCTGTTTGGGTAATGTCTCAAACTGTGATGCCCAGAAATGAAGATAGTATTCCTGGAGGAGTCTCTTAGTACAATGTGATTAATGCTGCCTCGATCTGGATGCTCTATTTCTAAAAACTATGCGGTATAATGGGAAGAACAGCAGATTTGATTTGAGGCAGATAATTTAAAACTTAGTCTGGCTTCTCACACAGACATTCTCCTTATTCAGATCACTTCCTACCACTCACACAGGCATTTATAACCTCTCATCTAGACTATTACAAAAGCTTTCTACTGATCCCCATGCTTCTTGCCCTAACACAGCTGCTAAAATAGTATTCCTAGACTTTTGGTTAGATGGAAGTGAGAGATCATAAGAAATCTCAGATCCCCAATATTTACCACAAGAATAGAAGCAGAACTTGTAACATTTTTAAAAGGGCTATCAGGGAAAAGATAGGGGAACCAAAAAGAACAGCTTCTCAGAAATTGGAAAGAGTCAATAAAAACAAATAATTAAGGAGAAAAAATCTAATATGGTGAATAAACATGAGTTAAAAGAAAAATAATGGATGCCATGAGGGGGAAAAATGACCACAGAAACAAAGTTGAAATTTTTACAAGATCCACCAAATTGGGTAATAACAAATATAGGGGAATATAAGAGGAACTGGGGTTGGTAAAAAATGTATTTGACACCAGCAGAGAGAGAGAGAGAGAGAGAGAGAGAGAGAGAGAGAGAGAGAGAGAGAGAGAGAGAGAGAGAGAGAAAACATCCTGTCCTCAGTTAAAAAAAAGAAAGAACAAGATAAAATGATACTGAAACTTAAAAGTATGTAGTGATCTGGAGAAAATTTAAATTAAAAAAACCCATTAAATTAATGAGAAATAGAATTATTCTGCTGTTATATTGTTGTGTTGGCTGTGAAAGAACAGCCAAAATTAAAAATGTATAATCCAAAGAAAGGCAAGACAATTGATGACTTGGTCAAATTGCATTTATTTACTTCAGTCATTAGGTATGCTCTCCACTACTCTGTTCAATTTACTTCACATTATTACTTAATAGACATGGGAAAAGTCCCTACTTTGATTCAAAACACAATGGAAATCACCTAAATTCCCTGAGAGATGCAATAAAGAATGTCCCACTCAAAGTTACATTCAAACTACCCCAAATGATCTTACCATATCAGGATGGCAGGAACATTGATTATGGATTAGAGGTCTGAGGGATAGGGGGTGCAGGGAGTTGGATATGGGCAGACAGACCATGCAGCTATGGGCAGTGATGGCTGAGACAAGAGGCTACCTTCTGGAGAAGTTGTGGTTGGTTTCCTCTGGACTCCAGGAGACTGGAGGCTCATAGTGTAGTTTCACTCAAATTTCGGATCATTATCAGTGTGGGTTTTTCTGGTTCTGTTTTGTCTGGACTGAGACTAAGTTTCCACTGCAGCAATGAGCCATTCTTTCATGATCAAATGGCAAAGTGGGCTCAGCACGGCCCACTTTTAAGAGGAACTTGACCAATCAGCTTCTTTCCTGATGTAATAGGTGGTCAAGGTTGTTTGGAAAAATATGTGAATATATTGATGTCACACATCAGAATGATTCATGATAAACAGATCTTCCTATCCTGACCAGTACAAAAATGTCATTTGGTCAAGGTAATCATGCAGGCTCTTCACAAGTATTAGGTTGTCAGACTTACACTTTCCAGTTATTTATATATTCATGTTCTTAGAATATTCATGCTCATTACAAATTCATGAGGGAGTTACTCATGTCAAAAGTGCAACTGTGTCAGAGACAACAGCAAAAGCAGAACAAGTAATCAGTAAAAAGGAAAAAGTTTGCCCTTTATAAGCCAAGATGACAGAAGTATGGAGGGCAAAAAATGGAAGAGGTAATTTAAAAGCCATCAGATTTCCTGAAAAAGAAATCTTTCAGACTACAATATTACAGGAAAGTATATAGCAAAATTTCCCAGAATTATTGGGATTAAGACAAGTCAATTAGCAGAACTGATTGAATATCATCATTAGGTGTTAATATTAGATTCACTTCATCCAGACACGTGGTTGTTAAACTCTACAGTAACAGTGACAGAGAAATGATCTTATAAACAGCTAAGAAGTAAACTATTACTAATTAAGGAATAACAATTCAAACATACAAAATTATTTATCCAACATGAAAACGTTTGAAAAACTAGAATGTGATATGGAGAATTAAGGGAAATTTTGTTTAATCTAAGCTTTGCTATCCAAATAAATCATCCATACTGTAACAAAGTGTGTGTGTGCGTGTGTGTGCATGTGTGTGTGTGTGTGTAAATCCTAATTTGTTGCATGAAATTCAGAAGAATTATATAGAGTTACCAAAAAATAATGGCAAGGATTATAATGAAAGATTAAGGGGGGTAGAAAGTAAGACTTAGAAGAAGGCATCAGATTGGCAGGAGTGTTGGTATGGTCAAATCTTACTCCTCTGGAACCACCATATGTGAACATGAAGGCAACAATGGTTTAATCCAGCAACAAATATCTCAGTACCCCTATAGTGGGAAAGCAAGGCAGAAGCAAGTTTATCATTGTTATATCCCCAAAGCTTAGGGGAATAAGGAAGAATAAATGGACAATATAAACACAGTTGATAATATGGTTAATAAATCTAATTAATAATGAGATATGTAGAGATGCAACAGATAGAGTTGGTCTTAAAACCAGGAAGACCTGGGTTCAAGGTCCATCTCAAATATATATGGGGAGTCATTTAAGCTCTCAGTGCTCTGTGAGCCTCTGTGAAATTCTACATTGCAGAGAAGAGGCCAACTTCCATTGATAGAAAGAGTTTCCTCATCTGGGAGCTCCATATAGTAATAAAATCACAGGTCCAGTCCTTATCCCTGTGGTTAGTTAGACGACAAACCAACAGCACAAGTAAAGAGAGAAGATAAGAAAAGGAATTATTTGATTAGCAGCATCACAAACAATGAATAAACTAGGTGGAGGAAGAGAGATAATGGGTAATGCCTATGTAATATTTTTATCTAAGGATGTAGGAAGGGAATGTAATGTCCTAAAGCAGTATTGTGACAAATATACTGTGGACTGATACCTATTTCATTTCCTTAGGCCTGTACCCCAGCCAAATGCCTTATTCCTTGAGACAGCCTCATTGCCTCTATTAGTAGAAAAGACATTGAATAATATATTCTTTCTGTCCATCCACCCTTAGTGGAGTGGGAGAGGACTTAAGAAATTGTAGTTTTGTGTCAAGGTGAGACATACATAGAAAAGACAAAGAATAAGGAGTGAATGTGGAGACAGGATAGACACCATCAGAAGAAGTTTAGGTGAACATATATAATATCTTGAGTAGCTCTCTATGGTCCACTATCATGCTGTCATTGAACAGTCAATTTACTTTAATTTGATAAACATTTAGTAAGTACCTACTATGTGCCAGGAATTGTGCTAAGTGCTGGGTATACAAAAAGGCAAAAGACAGTCCCTGACCTCAAAGAGCTTATAATCAGATACAACACCATCCATTTATATTCACCAAGAAGGATATCATAGATATGAACAGAGATGTGAGAGCCTGAGTTCATCACAATTTTGTGTATAATTGTTGTCTCCACTTGGAGGTCAGGCAATTAGATTTGAGTACTATAAATATCTGGGTGGTGCACTGGGCCCATAGTCAGGAAGCTTCTTCTTCCTTAGTTCAAATCTGGTCTCAAACAATTACTAGCTGTGTGACCCTGGGCAAGTCACTTAACCTTATTTGCCTCAGTTCCTCATCTATAAAATGAGCTGGAGAAGGAAATAGCAAACCACTCCAGTATCTTTGCAAAGAAAACTCCAAAGAGGGTCATGAAGTTGGACATGACTGAAACAACTGAACAACAACAACTATAGATATCCTGGGCCTGATGCTGGATACTTATCTTAAGTATAATTATCTGTTGGGATTTAGAGGCTACAATGATTTTTTTTCCCTTAGTGATTCATACATTGAGGGAGGGTCACACATTTGGGCTTTTAGGATGTTGCATCTGTCCACTGATTGCAAATTCCAAGAATGTAGATGATAATGAAGTTGAACCTAATAAAGAATAATGTCCAGAAGTGCTGATGTCAATAACAGTCCTTTATCAACGTGTAATTTTGTTCTTGTTTTATATGTCTATGTATTTATTTTCCTCAATTAAATTCTTAGCTTCTGTATGTAGAGATAATGTTTCTTTTAGACTCTGCAAAGGATCTATCATGTTACTCAGGACTTGAAGGCAAGATCTCAATAAATACCTTCTGATTAATCAATTAGCTAATTTTGGAAAAACTCTGTTTTTAAATGCCCTGAAATAAACTAAATTGAAACTAATATTTCTTGAAATATAATTTTAGAAATCTAAAGGAAATGATTGGTCACAAACACGTCAGGAAAGTTATTTCTTCCAGGTAAAGGGTGACCTTTGTATAGGAGCGGGATAAAGTTCCCTCAAGTTCATGTTGGGTGACAGAGAAACAATAATAGTATTGCTATAGGGAGAATTACCTGAGAATGAAAGTATTGAAATTAGTAAAAAAAAAAAAGTAGGGACTTAAATATTAATTCCTTCTAGCTCAAAATTTATGATGCTATGATCCTATATTTCATCACCAGTCCTTTGGATTAGTATTGATCATTTAATTAATTTGAATTCTGATGTCTTTGAATATTATTTTTTCTTATAGAACTGTGTTATTATTCTCATAGTTCTGTAAGATCTCTTTGTTCCACTTTCTTTCCTTTTTACCAATCACACAAGTCTTCTCAAGTTTCTCTGAATTCCCTTTATTTATAATTTCTTATAGTTCAAAAAGTGCTAATAATGTCAAATAGAAGGGAAGAAGGAAGAGAAACAGGAGACAGCAAGAAAAGGATGCATCAAAGATGGTGGCCATGCTGAGCCCACTTTGCCATTTGTCTTCAAGTTTCTTTCAGAAATGGAGGAAGTGGCATCAAAAGTCCTATTGTTCTTTCACACCAGAACAACTTCCTGAAGAAATCAAAGCAGGGCATAGGTTTGATGGAGGCTAGGATGGGGGATGCAGTTTTAACTGAGACTTTTGAGGTCAGTTTTTCTATTGTTTATGTAACAAGCATGGAGGTTCTAAGCATTGGCTGGAGGCAGGCCCAGATGAACTAAAAAGTGAGTATGAGAGTCCAGAAGTTACTATAAAATGACAAGATGGAGTTGTTGAGGTTAGAGGTGTAGGGGTGCTGGGACCCCAAAATCATGCACATGAATCCTGTCCAAATGAATTCAACCCAAGCCTTCTTTCAGCCGAAGACAAGGTTTATTAGAACATCGATCAGGGGTGGGTGAGATTTAAAGAATCCACCATATTGGCCAGACTCTTAAGGAATCTAAACATTTGTATTGCTAATGCAAGTGGGCCAGACCTTAAGAATCTGAGTCCTTGGCTAGACTCTTAAAGAATCTGAGCATCTTAATGGAGACAAGATGGACCATATATACAGAAAGACTGGGAGGGATCTAGCAGTGGCCAAATAGTTTGGGGTGACTGGAGGAGGTAACAGAATTCCAGGGACCTGGACCATGTGGCCAAGGGAGAATGAAGCCTAGATAGAATTAAGGGTGGGAAGTGGCAGGGGGCCATTGGGAGGTAAGACAATGGAGGGCTAGGCTAGGTTAAGGGTAACAGAGAACTAATGAAAGGCCAATTGATAGCATTATATCCTCAGGTGAAGGCCAGAGATTTGGCTATATGGGAAAGTGTAGGGCTTTTCCTTTTTAGGGTCCAGATCTCAAGGGTACGGTCTTTTTTTTTTTAGGGGTTCAAATCCTATCCTCATCAGGCTGATAACTTGGAACATGGGGAATTCCCAATGTATAGAGCAGAGGTATAAGTAGAGGTCTTTGTGAGAGCTCCTTCTAGATCCTCCATTTAAGTTAGGGGCCCAGGGCATTCAACTCATTATTTCCTACTTGGCTGTACTCCTTGGACTTTTTAATTCCCCTGCAACAGGTACACTTTTTCTCCTCCATCCTCCCTCCGACTTTCAGCTTCCTTTTATATTTGTTGTCTTCCTCCATTATACTGTGAACTCCTCCAGGGCAGGAACTGTCTTTTGCCTTTCTTTTTATCCCCAGTACTTAGCATAGTGCCTGGCACATAGTAGGTGCATAATAAATGTCTATTGACTAATTGGTACCTGTGATTCCAGTAGCATAAGGGCCTTCCTATGAGGAAAATATTTCTACCATTCAGATTAGCAGCTACTCTGCAATTTATAATCTTAGCAAAGTTGCCTGCTTGGAGCACTGAGAAGTTGCTTCCTTGGGTTAAGAATTCTTTTTACCATAAATCTGAAAGGTACAATTATTCAATATACAATTAGGATTGTGACACATTCTATAAGTTACAGAATAACAGAATTTTGGAGATAGGA